ATACAATTTACGTAAACATAATTTAATGCTTTCGTGGGAACAGTTCTACAATTGTAATTTTAATTAGTCTAACATTGTACTAATCAAATAGTAATAGTGGTTAATTCAATTTTCTTTGATGTAGTGTAACCGATATTGCAGTTTAAATTTAACATTAGTTAAACTCTGGTTAATTTAATTGACGTTAATGAAAGCAGTTCTAGAACAGCGGACGCAGGTATGCGGGATCATAAATGTACATAAAAGCATTCGTGCGGGTGAATTAAATTTGCGGTATTCGAGAATGTTTTGAGTGAACATAACGAGAGCGACATGTATGTGAGACGGATATCCGGTCTAATGACTTCCATAAAATCAGAATAGACTTCTATGACCGATCATCTGAAAGACATAAAAGTCTCGCGAACTTTATTTTCTTACCTCCCATCAGTACGCTCTTCTCCTGATTACTTTCATAGCCCTGCGGGCTTTCCTGCAAGAACCATCAATCTGTATGGCGAGAGGTATATACACGAATGCACCGTCCAACATTTTGCTTGTATCATCATTTTGTCGTCTTGGGAAATTTACCGATCACCTGGCAAATGGAGGGATCACTCACGTTAAATTGACATTGCTCCTTGCTTTTCATGAGTGATGTTAAATCTTTATCTCGTCCTTACTTTCTTGCACCACTTTATTTATCGAGTCTAACTCAAATTTGATTTAGATTTTAATGCTTCGTTGACCTTTTTTTCGTCTGAAAAATGTATATATAAATGAAATAAGTAAGAAAAAGGTAATATAGTTAAGATCAGATTTTACTGTCTAATAATATTTTTATATGTAAATTTTAAATACACCTCTCAGTTATATTATATATTATGTTCTTACTATATAGAAAAATGAAATTTTATGCATAATCAATATTTTCAGGCAGAAAATTTGCCCAAGTTTTTTGTGATTCCGAAAGTTATTAAAACATTCATCGTTATTACCATGTCCCCCTTATACTTTGAACATATTATATTCTGAACAATGCAATACTTTGAATCTCGCGATTATCAATTCCCATCTATCTTGTTGGGAACACCAAAACTATTTCATCAACCCTTGATCTGTGCCCCTCGGAATCTGGCGAACCATCGTTCTATGACTTCGCTCGAAGAATTTCCGTTCTATACTCACGGATTGAATAACCCCGAACCCTATCGTTGCAGATTCCTGAAGACCTTCTACAGGGAGTTGGGCACTCGCGATCCGCCCCATCTACCGCCATGGGCATCCCCGCTACCGCTCGGCACCCTCTGTCCGGCGCACTTTCAGCCGCATCTGCAGCTGGTGCACAAGAGCGAGCAGGAACACCGTCTCGAAAACATCAAGCCCGACCAGATCTTCGCTCCCGTCAGGGTGAGTGTAATTAAAATCCAATAATTGTGTTATATCGATAGTTCAAAGCATAGATATTGCATACCCAGAGGCATACAATTTAATAAAAACCTGAAGAGGATGTTTTATATAAAAATTGAAAGGGTTTTAGGATAACTGAAAGTAGTACAAACAAGATATTTACATCATTAATATTTATTCTTTATTCGATATTTACATTAAAATTTTTGGTAATATATGATTTTATTTGTCGTTTCTATTTTATATTTCTAAATATAAATATATACAAGAGAGATATGTTTGTGAAGAAATTTGTAAAATAAATTAGTTTAAAAAAGTTAAATTTTTATTTTTTCGGTCGCTGTGCACAGAAAGATAAAATAGTCCAGAAATACATCAAAATTAGGCAAAACTAGTACACACTGAAAAAACGATTTATTAAATCTTAATAGGCACATAATACATATCTAAATAGTGTTAACAATAAATAATTATTAAATACAGTAAATAAATATTTATTCACTAAAAAAATAATAATTAAATCAAATTAATGGTTTTTGTATCGAATAAATATATGTTTACATTTAATAAATATTTATTTATTGTTAGAACTATTTAAGCAATTATTTATTAAAATTTAATATTTTTTTTAATGTGCATTACATTATAAGCAGGCCAATGGATTTGTACGTTAAACAGATTTTCGCTTGACGATGCACGACACATACGAGTTTTCGCGGTGCTTTATCAGAAGACCGAGATCTTTCGTCGACAGCCGCGAATTTGCATGATATCGACTCCGTAATTGCGCGGACGAGCAGCAAGTCAAGTCCCGGATGTCCAAAGAAACCGCAAGGGAGTTTCCTCTGACGACTGTCGAAAGCTCGTTTCGTTGTCGTCGCCCCGTCGCTGAGCAAGTTCCCTCAGAAATGTGAAAGCCAAGTTGGTGTCCTTTAAAATTCCAGAGTGAGAGTGCGAAAGAGACAGGAGGGTTGAAAAAGTTTCGCGAACTTTCTTCTCTTCGCGATTCGCTATCTCGAGTTCTCAATACGAGACTGTTCGACTTCTTGCGCTCTCCGATCTCTCGATGCAGTCTCCCGCGAGTGAAATGCAATGACACTCGGAATCGGCGCGCTCGCGATTTATGGTCGCAGTTGCTTTGACCGGATAGTTGTTTTGATTAAATTGCGCCGAATCGCTTTTTTCGCGGATGAAAGGATTGTAACATTAAATTGGTCGGCGGTTTATGTAATCGGTTTACGTAATCAATTTTATTTGTTTTTCATTAGGTAAAAGAAAAGAAGTGACAATCATAAATGAAAATGATGTATTTGTAATAGATTTGAATACTTTCTTTTGAACTCTCATTAACAATGTTGATTAGCAATTCATTAGTTGTTAGTAGTACATTAAAGATAGAAAAACTTATTAAATGTGTAAGGGGATGAGTGGAGAAGAAAGGATACTGCGAATATTTATAAGGGAAAAGTTAAATAAAAATTATTGATCAATTAATGGAAGTTTTTATTCAAAAGATATTCCAGTTATACAGCTTTAAACTATTATAATTATCATTCAAATATTATCATGTAAACTATAATTTTAAACAAAACCCTTGCTCGGAATTATTCGCCGTTACGTAGAACAATACTGCATCGGTTTTGTTAAAATTATAATTTATATTAATAATATACGCTGTTAAATTCATAATATCAAATTATACCCAATTGAGCTGTTTTTAATCATTTCTGTAGGCCGCCGCTTCTACTTAATATGTCGTTAATTTATCTAAAATAATGAAATTAAACAATTTAACACAAGAAAATATATTAATATATTGGCTCAAATTTTATTTATTATTTACTAAAAGTGCATATGTTAATACGAATGTTGTTTATTTTAAAACTAATTACAGAAATGGATTCATTTTCTTTTTAACATACATGAAAGTTAAAAATAACAAAATGTTTGTAACAAAAATTTAACTATAAGGATTGTTACTTTGATATCTAACAATGTATAAATGTTAATTATTATAATTTAAAACCATCCTTTGAATAGAAGCTTCTACATATAATTGATAAATAATCGCTGACTTATTTAATTTTCTCTTTTTTTAAGTATTCGTAATTTTCTCATTCTCTCTTACAATACAATTATCGAAAATATGTAATAATATTTATCTTAAACGTTTTATGATTACATGTTTAGTGTGGCTCTAAACATAGGTATATCGAATTATCATTGGGTGCAAGAAATGAGAGAAATATCACTATTCCAACACTATAACACTATAATAATATCTTTTGCGTTTACCTATAGTGTTCGCAATTCTTCTATTCTGTCTTATCAAGGAAAGTATATTTAATAAATTATTACTGAAATAAAAATCTCAAGTTTTCGTAACGCTTTGAATAAAATAGGAGATATAAATTTAACAAATTGTCGCTTAAAAATGAGTTCATACTAATTAAGTCGCTAAGATCGAGATGTCGACTTGATCTTTTAAAATTCAGATGAGTCGTAATATCCAATTCAGACAAATTGTTGAATGTATCAGAATTCGATATATACGTACACGTACGTAGCACATCGATCACATCAAGTAATGCCAAGGGGTGAATAGTGCTTCAAGCTCCTTGCACGGTTCTCACGTCTTGCAAACGGTCATTCATGTCTGGGCGATAATATCTCCGTTGCTCTAACTCTCGTTCCTCGGATAAAAGGGATTTTGATCGCGACGCTGAGACGCCAATCGGTCAGACCTTCTGCATCGCATAATGAAGTATTGTTCTATAGAACGATAAGCCGTAACGTTTCCTCAAGAGTTGCCCACGTTCTTAAATGGAAAAGCGATGATAATTCCTACCGGAGAATAAAGTCTATATTTTGTTTTATTTCTTTTCGTCGAATCTTAAAATTGTTTACATCGATATTATAATTGTGAGCAAAACACATAATAGTTTTTGAAAATATAATGCAGTAACCATGAAAAATAATTATACAAATGAAAATAACGATTATGAAAATATAGAACTATTGTTTTACAACAAGAAATTGTAAATATTAATAATATAAATTAAAATTAAAATAATAAAATCATGATCTTATATAGTGATTATCCATAATATATAAAAACACATTAATTTAAAGTTTATGAAAACATATGATTGTTTAATTATTAATCTAGTTACTTACATTGATGATCTATTAAATCTATTTAATTAATCTGTTTATTATTTAATTTACTATTTTCACGTATAAATTAATAAAATGATATGTATCTGAGAAAACATATCTTATTGAAGTAAAAAAATCGATTAAAAACATTATTTTTGCTATTTTAAATGAACTCATTATCATTGATATTCTTTTTCTCTTATTAAAACCCGTATCTCTTGTTCGTTATTTTCAATAAATATATATCGTATCACGACTATGTAACGTAAAGAGCCACAAAATGTAGACAATGTGCCTCGTCGCCCGGAAATGTTTGCGTCGAAAAATGAGCCTCATAACCGTCGAGACATACGTAGGATATGTAGGATAGGAAAGAAAGAAGATGCAAGCACATAGACCGAGCTTGGGAAACCACACATACGTGCACCGGCAGCACGGGAATGAATCCGCATCGTAAAACCGATTTGTTTCTACCGTGAAAAAGGACGAGGGTAGAACCACTCTTTAGGAACCTTAGAACCGCCAAATATATTCGCATTTGCGGTACATCATACACTTTAATTTTCCGGACTATCAAAAATTAAAGAACTGATGCGAAAAAAGGTTGTGCACGTAAACGTAAGAAGAGACAAAAACTTCAGAAAAAATGACTTTTCGATAATATTGTAATATTTATTTAAAAATATTTGAAAAAAATCTTAAATTATTATTTCACAAGTACGATTTCTATGACTTTTAATATGAATTGTTGACTTTGGTATATGAAATATTTTTCGCATAAAATATGTTTTTAAAAATATGATAGATAAATACGATATAAGTATAGTAACTTCTTTTATTATAAACAGAATGTATATTTTAAAGTAATATTATTTTTTTTAAATAAAATATAGTTTTTTAAATATAAGCTTCGTAATATCATGTGTTCAATTTTATCAAATTTTTAATTGATATAAATATTACGTGGACAGTGGCGCATATTTAATCCATATCTCACGATTTTTCCATATTTTAATAAATAATGCAAGTAATTATGTTTCTTTTTTACATAATCAATTTTGAAGCGTTAAATACATGACGATTATATATACGTTACATGCATATTTTAAAACTACATCATTTGACAAACACTTTTTATCTTTTTTTCGCTATATAAATAGAACGTGGTTTATTCGTTCGGGAATATGCGTTCTCAAATTTATCGAAGTATTCATCGATAAAATCGATGAAGAATCAGTGTATATTGCCAGCAAAACCAACACACGAGTCCCTGAGAACTGGGCATAACTCGTGGAAAAATCCTGTTGCCGTTCACCAGGTTGCTGAAATCAAAATACCGAGGTCGATACTTGAAAAAACGAATGATTAAGACCCTCGAATCGAGCTGTTTGTCGAAGTTTTCAACAAAAATATCGACATAACATTGACTTTGTTTATTTCACAAAAATGCTATCGTCGTATTCGATTCTCAAATTGTTAAAAAATTATTATATATATTATTATATATATTAATGGCGATCGCTTATGACATTGTGCGATTATTTTTATTATTATAAATTTGTATGCAATAAATTATCGAGTAACGCGGCCATTTTTCGCTAATGGATATTATACTCGAAAATTGACTCCTTTATAATCATAAAATTACATCATACAGCAATTTTAGCAAAATATAGACGAAAAATATTTTTAAAAATAGGAAAAAAATCAGATTTCGATAAATTAAAAGGGCGGAAAATGAATAATTGCGATCATTAATAAATGTGTGGTCTCGCGATGTGCGAGCAGCGCTAGAAGAGAAATGCGCTAGGATATATCATCCTCATAAATTTCATGTAATC